ACTTCAACAGAAAACATTACAGAGAAGGTAAATGGTGAGAAAGGTAAAGTTTGCTAGTCCATGGTAGGCCATAGAAAAATTGTTTTAGAAAACATGAGGTATACATATGTATTTAATCCTGTTTTACTTTAATGTTCCTAAATAAAATAAGCTTCTAGACAAATCTAGGGTCAAACATTTAGAAATATTTTCCCAGTCTTCTATGCAAAATAACTGCAGCTCAGTCAAGTTTGATGGAGCGCATCTGTGTATGTTTATCTTTGTTGTTCTGCGGGAAGATTAGCGTTACTGTCCCTGGATCAGAAAAGGATTCCCACAAAATGATCCTGCCACCACCATTTTTCACAGTTTGAAAGGTGGGTTAAGAAAATGTACAGTGTTGTTTTAATTCCACTCAAAACCTTTGCATGTAGGTCTATTAGTTCCTTCCACTTAGTAATCGCTCAATACTTTATTTGGTCTTTCAGCTAAAGTACCAGTATCATGTATTAAGGTTTGCAGTTTTAAAATAATGTGGAAAAGGACATTGTTTGAGTTGAAAGAATGCAGAGATGAAAATGACTTATGTGACCAAACAAATCCAGAAAAAGGAAAAGGGCTTCTTCATGCACGCCCGTACAGAACAGCAGAAGACAGATTGGTGACAGAGACGGATCTGAAGGGAAAGTGAGGCGTACCTCTAGCAGATGGTTGTCTGCATGTTTCTGAATAATGGCTGCATCAGCCATCACCCACCAGCTAATAAGAGGAGAGCCCTGCAGAGGTTGGCCTTGTATGTAGACGTTTGCAAAGAGCACAGGCTAGATGAGGTGAGCTTGATTTAATTGCATTGAGCATCTGTAATATAATAGCAGGGAGAGTTTGAGTCTCTGCAGAATCCTGCATATCCATCTGCAGTTTAAGTGTTTATTTTTCTGTTTAAATTTTATCCTGAGTTGGAAGACGCACTTTTGTGTTGCTGAAGCCAATCTAGCTCAGTCTGGTAAAACTCACTCATAGTGATGGATCTCTTCTGTGCGACCTTTTGCAGCTCACCAGCAGGAGCAGCAGAGGTGAAAATTGACTCTGAGGAACTGAACTGCTTTCTAGTCTCCTCCTTACGCACTATTCATCTACTTCTATTCATATCTCATATATGGAGTCAAATGAATCTTTCCTCATGAGAATTGAGGAAAAATTTTTCAATAACTAGTTCAAGAGGGGAAAATGCCAGAAGAGAGCGTCTTAAGTCGTTCTAGACCAAGGATAAACTAGAACTAAAAATACTCGGCCTCCTCCATTTCTCTTCTGAAACAACATGCAAAGGTTGGCATAGATCACATGTGTCAAACTCATGGCCCGGGGGCCAAATCCGGCCCGCCGTAGCTTTTTATGTGGCCCTCCACAGACTAAACACTAAGTGTGATTAAATATTATATTATCAATCATATCAATGCAGTTTTTACCTGTTTATTGCCAATTTATGTCAATCAATCCCTCCAGTTTCTTGAGAATTTAGTTAATGTATGATTATAGTCCATGATTTATACAGCGAGTAAATTTATTATTAGTTCCTGAAGGGACTGAAAAAAATCTTCAATAATATTATGTAATTTTAAGAATTCATTGACATATTAACATTTTGTGAACAGGTTTTATCAACACATTCTGGCACAACTGGCCCTTTAAGAGCCTTCATGATCTTGATTTGGCCCAAAACGAAAATGAGTTTGACACACCTGGCATAGATGGTTTATCACCTCTCCAGAGACGCTGCTTCTAATGAACCATGCAGTTTGCTCCAAGTTAGTGCTCAGTTTAGGAAATTAAGCTCTGTGTATTTATTGATTATGCAGGATGTAAGCATGTGGAAGATTTATAAAGCTGCAAATGAGCAAAGCAGTGCTTAGAAATACTTACAGGAAATGAAGTGTGTAAAACACTTCATTTTTTTTTACAAGTTTAAAAAAAATGTCTCTGCTTTGAAACATTTTTTATCTCATTCTGTGGGATCCCCAATGTCTTCCCATACAAGAAGGGAAATATAGTCGCGGTACTGAGTTTGGTGCGCTGCAAATCCTTGAATGATGCAAAGTCTAAAGCACAAAAACACAAGTGCAAAAGAAAAATGCTACAAACGCAGAAAATGGAAGCCAAAAGGAAAGTGCAGCAAATCTGCTGTTTGCATCTGTCGGACAACGTACCTCCCAGTGGGATGTGCTCAGAACACCTCCAGAGGAATTTTCTCCAGGAATCATCAAATAATAAAAATTGGATAACGAGCACTTGGCAATTTTTTTTTCCTGTTAATGTAGGCAAGCTGAATATGTTTCAGCAAAATCAGATGCCTGAAACAGCTCAGTTAGCTCCATTTGATAAAAAGAAGAAGTGACGACTTTTACTGGGTTGAGCCCAGTGTCATTTCAACTATTTTTGTTTGGAATCTTGATCTTTAAGTCAAGAAGGAGACACCAGAAAAAATCAGCTCTGCTTGAAGCAGAGACTGAACCATGACCTAAACAGAGCAGGTAAACTCTGTCTTGGGCCCCAGACTTAGTGGAGCTGACTCTCATCCCCTCTGATGCCGACTGCTGAAGGTCATGGCATGAAGACTTCGTCTGAAGGACATCATCTCTATAAAATAACGGTGCAATCCCAAACTTCACATAACTACGTAAACAAGCAATCAAAACAGAAATCCTAAATGCTGAACCCATGTGCTGAAACCTGAATTAAATCATAAAATCCCTTAATTCTGTGAGAAACGATGCACTAAGGATGAGTGAATCTGGTGGGAATCTGATTGAGTTTCTCTTATAAACTTAATTAAAGCAGTGCATGATCTTTACATTGATCAGCATCATTAATGAAATTGATTAGAAAATGACGAAGCTTTCTTCACCTTTCAAGCATTTAGCCGCTTCCTTCATCTTGCAGAAATCCCCACAACCACGCTCACTGCCCGGGGCTCAAAGCGGAGATATTGAAAGGCCTTCTTTGAACTGTCAGCTTGTATTGTTTTCCTACGAGCTCTGCTTTTGTCATCTCCGTAGCTTTTTACTGCCTTTGTCAGCAGTTTACTGCTCAGCCAAGGTCGTTGCTATTGTTCCAGCAGCCTCGTGTGAACATCGGGACCACAACAGAGCAGCTCTGACAATGGAAGGTCATTTCCCCCTCAGCGTTGATGGCGGCTTTATACCTCCGGTACGAGCATTCATGAGCATAACCGCCTCACCAGAACAAAAAGACCCACATTAAGGTTGGCGACGTACTGCTGCCATTTGGTGCTCAGTATATTTTTAGGAATTGGGTGTGTTTTAAGTGCCACTTCCACTCGCTTTTGTCACATTAATGCCAAATATTCTTCTTTTCTTTCTTTTTTCTTATGGTGGGCTGTCTGTTGACTGAGTCAAAAAGGTCGACCAAATAATCTGAATGTTAAAATGGAAGAAGACCTCGAGCTGAAGGCTGTATCCTAATTAACCCATGCATGGTACAGAGAAGCGCTCACATCCTCTCGCTCTCTCGTCTAAAACCAACTTCCCAAATCTTTCATAGTGACAACTCCGGGTGAAATCCTTTGATGAGAAATGTAGGTTAAATACACGGAGAAGCAGATCCTATTAGCGCTTCCCCACAAGAGGAGTAGATATTTGATGCACAGTCTTGTTGCGTAATGACGAAGAGTGGGTGCATGAGAAAGAGATCCTTTAATAATCCATGGTATTTTCCTCACTTGGCGAGTAATGAGGAGACTCCAATCAGATTTAATGAAATGTCAGATTCTAACTAATTTAATAGAGGCTCAATAAGAAGTTTTCAGGCTGCAGGACAGAGGAATTAAAAATCAAAGTCTGCATGTCTCAGGTTATTTTAATGCCTCCTCGTTTATACACTTTACTCATTCAAAGAAATATTTTAGCATTTTTGCCTCATGTTTTTAGTCCTGTCATTCTCTAAAAACACACCAAAAGAATATTAACTTACATTGCTTGATGACATCCAGTAAGGTTTGTGTTCATATTAATATTTTTGGAGGGCATTTTCAATATTACCAATGTTACTGAGTCTTGGAGTAGGATACAAAACAAAAATTCATCTGATTCATAAGAATGGGATGAATATTATGAAAGCTAAAGAAAATATAGGTTTTGAAAATGCCTGCATTCTTTCAGTGCTTGTGATAGACCCACAGAGAGAAATATATTATTACTTGTAGTGTTAATAAAATATTATAAGGAGCGATGCTTAGTTTTCTATTTTTAATATTAATTTAAAAAAAAGAAAAAGTAAGACGGTATGCAGAAAACTTGCATGCTGTAGAGGAACATGCAAACTGTGTACAAAGACCAAAAGTATTTGATTTCTTGACCCAGTTTCTTTAAATGCTGGAAAATGACAGCCTCTTTCTGCTTAGTAGATGTAAAATATGAATTTGTCTTTTTTATAGTTTCTGATTGACTACTGTTCAGTAAAAATGATCATAAATGTGTCTTTTATGTGCTGCAGCTGCTGTGCCATTAAATGACGATGATATAAAATCTCAGATTATATTTATTAAATATCTTGTGGCAAAATGGCAGGAGCTGCCAGAGTGGCACTATTACAGGTGTGTTTATTAGCACCATGGATAGACAGAGTTACATTTGTCTTTTAAAAAGAAACAATGATTTCACCCTTCTTATCATGACTTGCATGTTATTGATAAAGTCATTGATTTTGCGAGTGTTAATGTTTCACTTTTGTATTAGTTAATGCCCTCATTTAATCAAGCAGTAACAAGAAATTCTTCTGGGAATTATATTAGATAAATCTTTTCTTTAAAAAGCTTTTTTGTGCACAGTTGCATTTTATGGATGCCTCTTTGAATCTAAATTTATAGTGCAGTAATTTCTTTGATGCTGCTTTTGTAAAAACCAGCTTCCTGTTTCCTGTCAGAATAGGCTCCAGCATCCTGCAATCTGCTGGCTTGGGAGAAGCTGAGTGCTTCTAAATCAAAAACACAGTTAATACCAAAGCTATATGCTTTCACAAAATAGTTTTATTGGTAAAAAATAGAACTACTTGCACAAGCACATTGAGACAACTGTATCAGAACTTGTGAACTGCTCATCACAAATATGCTCTGGCAAAGTAAGAAGTGCTAAAGCATTCACAAAAATAAGCTGCAGTTATCAAAGTAATAAATCCAATGTCTTGGTACAGTATACGCAAAGAGTTGTAACTCTGTAGACTTTAAGGACCTAGTCACATTGCACTCTGGCCATTTATAAGCAAATAAAATTGCGTGCTGATGATTAAGCTGCACAGCCACTAAAAAAAACTACCTGGTATTTCCCTGTTGAATCCCATCAGACAGAAATTGCTCTCTTTTGTTTTTGTCCAGAGTGCCCACTTGTGTTATGTATTGATACTGGTCCAGAGAGCCTGGAATGCTCATTCATTTGAACCAAACTGCTGTCAAATAGAAACATAAATAAAAAGTGCACTGAGTAGTCTTCTTATAAAGAAGATATGGCATGAACGTGGTATTTTATCTTCGACTGAAACAATCTGAAGGATGACAAATCCTCCTAATAAACAAACAAAACACTGTTAAAGTCACAGACACTTGTGTACAGTCGTCACAGGCCAACACGGAATCATATTTCCTGATATAAATACATTTTTAAAGCCCCACACTTAGAGTGCCTTGATAAAGTATTCATGCCCTATGAGCATTTTCATCTTTTTTTTTTCTTACATTTCATCAGAAACCTCCATGCATTGAATTTTGTGCTAAAAAAGTGGTATGTTATTAGGAAGGGGACATGGGCTCAAAACATCTTTTACATATAAAAAAGTTTAAACACACTGCAAACAGAATTTCTAATGGCTTTCTTCAGGCATCTATAGATTACTCTCAATGGAATGGATGAGCCTCTTGGCTGCTTTTCTGAGTTATGCTAAGAGGAAAACAGGAAATGATGAAAGGGCACTACTATTGTTGAATATTACGATCAATATCAATTACATTATTCCCATTTTCCCAACTCCAAAATATTGCAGCCAGAAGCTCTATGCAGTTGTGAAACTGCACATGGTATTGACTCAGAACTTTGCAGCGCTGCTTTCCTTACCCAGCCAGGTAGTCTGGCTGGGTAAGGTGCATCATTTCTAGGCAGACTACAGTCACAGTTGTTCCATATTTTTCCATTTTGAGATTGAGTGTTATTCATCCAAAGCTTAGGTTGTCAAAAGTGCTCCTTGGTCTCACATAAAGATAAACCCCACACAAGATCTGCATTTATACTGAGATTAATATTCCTTATGATTCTATTTACTCTTATCCCATAAAAGCACAATAAAATATTTAGAAATTTGTGATTGCGGTTAAAGGGCTAGGAATACTTTACAAGACACTGTGGAGTCTTGCTGTGCTTTGAGGCGAATGAGGAATAAAAAGATTTAAAATAACCCTCGGAAGCTGCAAAGGACTGCACACAAGCATCTGGTTTGACAGAACAAATCTCAAATCCATAAAACATTTTAAAATGTAAAATTCATAGAAAAATAAACAGAAAAATTCCAGATATTAAAATTTGTCATCATGAGACAATTTGGCACATTCTCAAACACATGATGTGTCAGTATTAGCTGATGACATGGCACATTCTTTACTAGTTTTATTGCATTTATCAGTAGTGGTGCCTGGGCAGTGTCTCTCTGTCAGGTGGCCAGCTCTGACATGTGCCAGTTCGAGCACTGCAGGGCTGCCAAGGTTGCCAGCGGCACCCACTGAGGAACCAATGGTGTGCTGGCAGCCGCCTGCAGATGGCAGACTGCGCTCAGCCATCTGCACTTCCCCAGGAAGCTGCATGCTTATGAGAAAAAAGGAGAGAATGTGCAGTTCTATACATCCCTGCCTGCACCATGCACAAAACACAATATTCCTGTGCTCAGAGTCAAAGTGTAGACTCGCCCTGAAATGTAACCATGAAAGCGTAGCCCTGCAAATGACACATGAGTAGGTACGTGTGGGTGGCAATTGGTGGAAGAAGCGTGTGTGCCTGGTGTGGATGTGTGTTTGAGGAGGACACGCTTTCAGCATGCATCAGCGTTCTCTCGTCAGGGATCACATCCATGTGACGGCTGACACAAACAGGCCAGGGTGAATGAGTTGGAAAGGAGTAAAGAAAAAAAACAGGAGCGACTGGTAGGAGTACGAGGAAAGGTGGGGCTAGTGGGACAGTGAAGTGGACACAATTTTAGACCGAGAGCTTCTGCAGGTGAAGACTGGTAACATATGCGCCTCGTTGCTGACGCACTTGGAAAACAAGTCACATATGGAGAATGACTCAAAGCTTTTTTAGTCGTCTGCCACATAACTATCCTCTTGACTCAAGGAGCCTCTGGTTATCTTCAATCGTGTTCCTGCGATGCTGGACCATTAAATGCTGATATGATGAGGGAATGGTTAAAAAAAACATTGCAAGGAAAAAAGTTTTCTAAAAGCTTCTACACAGAGATTCATCTAAAGAAACTGAAAGCAGGAGGATTTGACTGCATGAAAGGATGCCCCTTTTAAAAGAACATTTGTGATTGACAGATAATAAAGATGTTTAAATGGCAAATATGTCTCCATGGCAGCGAAGAGGCGGTTGACGAGTGAAAAGCACATGTGAAAAGCCTCTGAATGTTTACTATGCACACAAAAAGCGCACAAAAATAATGCATTTGGTGTGGGTGTAAATGTCTACAGTGGATTGTTGCAATAGACAGGCTGCAAGTTACACACAGGTTGATTGTGTCTGGTTGGGAAATATGAAAACGTCCATTCATCTGAAGCGATTAGATGTTTTTCCTGCAAAATTTCTCTCCCTTTCTCCCATATCTCCACCTGCAGAGTGATATGCGGGCATCTGTCTGTCCGTCTCGTCTTTGTCAGCCAGCAGCCTCACATCCTTTGCTCCTGACAGTCCTCTTTCAACACTTCCAGCAGGGTTAATGTTTCTACAGCTTTGTTTTCAGGCACAGGCATTGTGTGGTTCAGTCGCTCTACCAAGCATTCCAACATTGTATTACGCAAACAGGCTCCACACGGCATGCTTCAGAGGCAAAAATATCAACATCCTTCTAGCTAACAAAAATATTACCATTTTAATTTCAATCAATTCAAGGTTGCATTCTAGGAGATATGTATTCTAAAAAATAAAATGGCTTGCTATGGAAGGGGTTTTACTTTCTGCTCTCTGGTGTATATATTACCTATGTAGGGTGGGGGAGAGATCTTTATGAACGATTGTAAGTAGCAGCTAAACGATTGCTTATTTCTATTCAAAGCTTTGGTGAGGAGAGGGAGGGGAAAATCTACACAGACGACTTCCTTATTTGCGTAATCCATTCCCGGGAGCGCTTTCTGTGATTTACTGAGGAATAATCTGCATTTTGTTGAGAGCTTCCTTCCATTCTGCTGCATGAATCCTGCCTCCTTTCACATTTGCGCTGTTTCCTACGAAGGCGCTGCTCAGGGAATACCTCTACCGCTTGTGCTTGCAAAACAGAGTAAAAGGAGACAAAAATGAATTCAAAGTTGTTGCCCTCCTCTCGCTGCGTTCAGTACGGCCTGACGTATGGATTTAACTGTGACGGTTTTCTCCCTCAGGCTTGCCTCCCTATAGCTGCTGCTTTATTACACGTAATCCTGCAGGCTGTAGCCAGTCTTGTTGTCTAAAGGGGAGAGAGAGCAGTACTGGTGCTGGAGCTCCTGCTGCTGCTGGAGCAGCTGTTGCTGCTGCTGGAGCAGCAGTTTGTCCGGCGGAGGAAGCAGAACCAGGTCCTGAGGGCCGTGTCTTTTCCCAGGGCAGGACATGCAGAATATGGACCCTCCGACAAAAAGGAAACCTGCTGAAACAAAGGCCACATACACGGCACCCCCAGGCTCAAACTTATTGCTCTCGGGCACGCTGGAGTCCAAGAAGTTTGTGATGACCTCCTTGGTAAACCAAGAAGCGGGCACCAGACAGAGAAAGCCAGCGGTGACAAAGCAGCCGCCGCTGGCGATGGCGGCGTGTCGCTTGGAACGGCGTCCGCCTCCCCACCGTGTGCATTTCAGCCCCAGAGAGGCAAGGCAGAGGCCCATTGCGGCCAGCACGCAGCAGAGCACCATGGTGGTGCGTGCAGTCTGCAAGTATGCAGGAAGTGAGAGCACCGAGTACTTAAGGGTGCAGCTGAACATGCCGGTGCTGTACCAGGTGCAGTCCATCCACAATCCCTGCATCTGGGAGATGGCCGTGATGATGTTGGAGCCCACATCCGCGCTGACCTTCCAGTTGGGCAGCAGGGTAGCCACCGTGGCCCCCATAATGCCCAGCAGCGCCAGGACAAATCCAAATATCTGCATGCCAGTGGATGCCATGCTCCTCTTCTGAGTCAGTGCTGCCGCCTCAGCCTTTGTCGTCTTCAGGCAGCATCCACCCGGCGCCAGCCAGGCTCGTCGACCCCTCTGCCTTTCTTAACCTCTCCTCTCCAGCTGCAGCTCCACTGGACTGGGGTAGAGAGAGCAAAATGAGGAACTGACTTGCACTATACCTTATTTCTCATCTTATTCGCCTCACACATTCAGAGGCTGCAAACAAAGGACAGCCTGGCTCTAAGGTGAAAGACGCTGACTCTGGCTGACAGTAGGTAATCAAAACACTGGACTCTGCTGCGCTTTCCTTTCTCCTAATCTTTAACAGCCACATAGTCTGGAGAGTGAGGAAGGAGTTGTGGTATTGGCATTGCAACAGCTATCTGGACTTAAAGCTGCAGCGTCCTCACCTCATCTAGCTGTAGGATTTATACTTTATTCTCTGAAAACCAGTTTCCTCAAGGTGAGGCGTCACAATAACTATCCTGAATATACATGTCTTTATTTTATTTAGGAGGATAAAATCTTTGTTTGTATTGTTAATAAGAACAACCCTCTGTTTCTTCTTTGTTTCTTTTTTTTTTTTTTTTTTTTTTTTTTTTAAATCCGATGATGCGATGTTAAAATAATTTCTTACCCCGACTGGTGCAGAGCTGGAGCGGACGCGTCACGTTTTTAGCAGTAATTCCCGTAAACACGCACTGAAACACGGCAGGCTGCTGTGGTGAGGGGGCGAGGAGGACGGCTCAGTCCGGACCACCGATCCATTCAAGCCATCCATTTCCTTAGCAACAGCGCGGGGAGAGACCACACAGGCTCGACCGGAGCCTGTGAGAAAGTGAACGTAGCGCCTCCGCCGCCTCTTGTCTCCTATCGCGACTCTCTCTCTTCCTCTCTGTCTCCTCCTCACCCGTGCGTGTGTGAAAGAGAGGGAGCGCAGTCTGCCTCACAACTTCAGTCAGTGATTACACAGCAATGCGCCCTAATCACTACACGCAGTGCGTGAGCCGCGTCTCAAACCGATTAACTGCTGCTTTAGTTGAACCGTTTTTTCAACGTTTTACCGAACGGCGAACGTTGCTGCTTATTAATGTTCAACTTTTAATCCGGTTTAACACTTTTGTGGGGAAAAAAATAAGAAGAATGAGAATAATAACACCACTAGTAAGCGAAATTCAGTCCAAGAACGCAGTTGTGTGGAATGTAACTTTCGTTTTCCGGTGTTTTATTGACACTACGTATTTGGAAAAATGATGTTAAGGGAAATTAGCATCAGATAAATAAATCACTCTTTATGTGCTTTTTAAAATCGAAAAAATGTATGGGGAGTCTACAAAATTAAATAAAAGTAATAAATAAATTAAGTTATAAATAAATGCATCTCATGAAAGCAAAACAATATAGAAAGTTTATTTTGTCAGTCACGTGTCTTTTCATTAATTTCTTTTTTTTTATTATTTTGCCACACTTAATTTGTGAAGCTAATTTATTTAAGGACTTTATTATCTCAAGTTCCTATATTCAAATGAGGGGGTGGAGTTTTCTCTGGAGCTGGTCTTGTAGCATTTGTTTCTTACAAACTACTCCTCCAACCTTTATTCAATTCAAAAATACTTTATTGTTCCCAAAGGGAAACTAAGTAACTAATTAAATTAGTGAACAATCACAGTTTTCCCTCCTGAGCCTTGTTTAGTGAAACTAGCATCATGTGGTGAATCAACTGGATTCACAAAGTCATTGTGAAAAAATGTTTAGCAGGCAATATGAAGGCGATTGGAGAACTCTGAGATGATATGCAAGTGTTTGCTATTGAAACTGGGCAACATGATTTAACATTTCTATTTTGGCTGGTGTGGTACCAAGGTAGTTATCCCTAACAGAATTTGTTTCTCCTGCATCAGCACAGCAGGCTTTGCAGACACTGATGGAGATGTGGCAAAGTTTGCTGTCTCTTGAGAGACAGCAAACTGTGCTCTGATTGGATCCCTTCTACAGAGTAAACTTCATCTCCTTATGTGAATATAAGAGCATGAAATAAAAAGATTCAGAAATAAAAGCAGATCTAAGAAAATAAGAATATAAAGTAGTTTTACAAAGTGTTAAAAAGTAAAACACCATTATGAAATTCTTCATGAATAGCTAAATTCTGAAATTAACGAAGACTGATAAAAGAAGCTCCACATTGAAAAAAAAAAAAAAAAACAGTATTTTGTTAATTATTCAGTGTAAAATCCTATATTTTAGGCTACTGGTTGCTGTCATTGCTGGTAGGCGTTGGTTTTGTGTGTTCTCAATTAAGGTTCTTTATGCAGATATTCGTTTGGATTTATAATCATGAAGTCATTTATTTCCTTCGCAATGTAAATTATCTTTCCATTTCAATTTAGATTAAAAAAACCTGACAAATCAAAACCAAGCCAAACCGTTTGCTCCTTTGTATTAACAACACCTGAACAGAATCTCTTAACCTTAAGTTACCTCATCGCCCTTCGACATACTCAGTGCCCAAATGAAACATGGGCACTGAACACTAATATTGGAGATAAGCACAGGAATCAACATAAATGGCTCCTAGAGGTACATTTATTTGTTTGTGCCCCAGGTGTAGTTTACGCTATTGAATGAAAGGTTTGCAACCGCGTGATTGCACGTTGCCTGATCGGCTTTGAATGAAGTATGCTGGGACCCTAAATCTTTATTTTTGCATGAAACAACTCTCCATGTATGTGTGTGTAAGTTAGAATATCAGATAAAAGATCATATATTTTAGTAATGCCATTCAAAATAAGGAAAATGTGATTGTGACTAATGAAAACTCAAATCCAGTTTCTCAGAAAATTTGATATCAGATTAAACTAATCAAAATTGGATGTTTTTATCAGAAATGTCAGGCTTCTGAAAACTATCTACATTCACTTCTTCAGGAATGACTATCTGTCTTTTAGACAGCTATCTTTTGTTAGTTACAGTCTTCCGCACAAGAGTTGCCTATTGACCCAGGGTGAGAGACCATTTAAAGGTCACCTGCTCAATGAACCTTTGCAGGTGTTATGAGTTAATTAGCTGATTAGGTTATAACACCACAAGCTTCCATTAATGACTTTTTTGACATTAGTATTTTTTTATGACACTTTTGAGTTGATTAATATGTAAGCCATATTAAGCAAAATGACAAGAAACAGGCTTGGAATATGTCATAATGAATTTTGCTTTCTGAAATAACTGGCGGGAAATATGCATTTGCAAGGTTAGAAGATAAGTTCGGCGGTCAACATGTCCAACAATTTTAAGTCGACAATATTAAAACATGTCGATAATATCGACATTCCCAATAAATTACATAATGAGGCTATGTTTGTAATAAGAGAAAATGTGAAAAAGTTCAAGATGTTGTCATTGCAGTGGTTTGCTACAGCAGTTGCAAACCTCTGTCATAAATATCACATACTTACATTAAATTGCAGCAGTCATAATGTGGCAGTGTTGCTATCCTGTTGCTACAAGATAAGAAGTGCCGAAGATGTAAACGCGTGATAATATTTCTCATCAGACTCGCTGCACAACTGGGGGGGGGCAATCTAGTTTATACAGAAGAAATGTCTGCTACCATTAGGTTTAAAGATCAAATCAGCAGCTCCAACCTTTAAATCAGAGGGTGTTTTGTATTTGTTTACGTGTTGGTCCAGAAGCCGCAGGAGCAGTTTTCCCCGTCATCCCAAAACTGACCATCCCCAGAGCATCATCTTAATCAGTCAGCAGGAGACTAAAACTCACAGCTGCGATCCTGTCTTTGCATGTCTTTCTTTCCTCTCTGTAGAGGACATTTATCACAGAAGGGGAGTGGTTTAGATGGCCGTGATTCATGAATGACAAAGCGGACAATGTGTGTGTTGGGGGGAGGGGTGAAGAGGATAAGATTAATCGACCTAATATAGTTCTAAATGCAGATCTATGATATTTTTTATTGCTGCATGGGCTAATAAACAAACCAGTTCCTCACCTACAGCAATCTTCTTTTGGTTGTAATGATATTTGCGGTCTTATATATAAGGTGCCTACAGCCAATTGGTGAAAGTATTGATCTGTTTGTTTAACTCAGCTGTCTACCTAGCATTCTTTTTGCTAAACTATCCCCAAGACACCTTTTCCTTCAAATGAGATCTGGCCAGCATGTGGGTTGGTGCACACAGTCGACCTTCAACAACACTACATTCCCAGAACTCCTCATGGAATACCGCTGCAGCCAGTCAAGAAATTTTCTTCTTTCCCGCAGACACATTACAGCCAGCCTGGCATGTGTGACATTTCTCATGGTAACGGATGAGATCTTAAGTGCTGATGCTGTGTTGTTGTTTCGGGAACACAATAAATAAATAAATGGATAATCCAGGGAGTGGAAGGAATGAAGGAAAAAGGAGAAGGAGAAAAAAGAGCAACATGCAGTTGACATAAACCCAGTGAGTGCAGATGTGCGAGGCTGTGATGTGTGAAGATGTTGCAGACTGTTGTGAGTGTGGTCCCCTTTGTTTTATCGCTCACAGCACAGCTCTCAAGCTTTTTCTGCAGCATGGCTCTGAGGCACAGCTTGGCCGGCCTCTGTCCTTTTTGCCCACACGAGGGGCTTTTATCGATCAATTAGCATTTTTTCTCTTTTATGTTCTTCCCTCACGTAATTGGTTTTCATGCTCATCGTCTTGCAAGGACGGTTTGTTCACAGATTAGATGCAAGGTGTTGTCTGATTGCTGTGATGTTGCTGTCAACACAGTATTTATGCAGAAAGGCTTGAGTTCAGTTTCAATGTGCATATACAGGTGCATCGCAACAATTTAGATTATAGAAAGGTTAACGCAATTTGCATAAGATATATTCATTACACACAGTTTTATATGTCAGCACTACAAATATTTTAGTTTTGATGACCAGGGTTTCACAGCTCATGAAAGCTCAAAACCAGGTTCATAGAAAATAAAAATATTTCAGAGAAGCATTGAAAAGTTTTTTTATTTAAAAATATGGGCCTATTGAAAATAATATATGTACAGTACATAATGCAATAAAATATGTCTGTGATAAATATTAATTGTTCCGTTTTTGAAATCAAAATTGTAGGACTGGAGAATTTTTAATATGGGAAAATGCATATGAATCCTGTATAAAGATGGTGAGTGGAGTGGAAGTATCTTCCTTCAAGAGGCTGCCTACTTCCACTGATGTAATGGAGGTTGTCTTCCTAAGGTATTGTCATGATTAATGCAAGTCTCACAGTTTTTGTTGCACGTTCTCTGTGAGCTTCTCTCTCTTATATTCCCTGGTTGTTTTAGAGCTTTCTTCCATTTCCCTTCTTCTCCTTGGTACCTTCCATTATGTAAGTAAGCACAAGTCCTTGTGGTTCAGGTGGTGCCCCAGGCCCCTGCCATCTCGTCTTGGTTACGCTTAGAGGGACATGACAAATTACTACTCACACCCCGTCGGGCAAGAACTCTCAGGGAAAGACGCATCAGAGGTGGAATAGGATGAAAAGGAGCTAGAGAATCATAGGGCAAAGCTGGAGTAATGGAGTACCTGCTGAGCTATGGGAAGGTCAGCGAGGAAATATGGTAATATGCAAAAATGTCAATATGTACGTCAATGTTTTGTTCCCATGTGGTAGTTAAAAGGTCTTGAGCTGTGGACAGAAGTAGTTATGGAATTTTGAGGTTGAAGTTTCTCATGTTATGCCCTTCTCGCAAGTGTTGTGAATAGAAATTCGACTTTCTTTCAGTAGAATGCCTTTTTTGTAAGTTGGAATTCAAGGAATCAATGTGGGTTAATCAGATTAATTAGTATAAAATAAGATGAGAAGCAAAAGTTCAAAGTTTGTTTGAGTGTTTGAAGTTTTTTTCTCTCTCCCAAACTGATTATGTTAAACCAATTATAGCCAGAGAAAGATTATTAAATACATATACTTATATAACATTTTAATATGAAAAATAAATCTGTGTTAACTTATTTACATACCAATTAAAGAAGTTACTGACATCAGAGAATTGTTAATCTTTATCTGGCTTACATTCACTTCCCTTTTGAAGCACAGGAGAAGACAACTGAACGAGAAGACAAAATGTTTAACATTGTAAGCATGATCCTAAA